TATATATATATATAGTTATTGACATTTGGAAAAATGTTCATGAATTTTTTTAACCATTTCACCCCAAACAAGGCAGGATGCCACTAGTACGCAAAAAAGTTACAGAGTGCTCGCGAGACTAAAGATCCGTGATGGAGGAAAGGATGAAGAGAAGGAAAGTGAATAGGTCAGGGCATCTGGAGATGTCGATTGACATTACATTTGAATAGTTAGAGATTATAGCTATCAGGGAAACAAGTAATAGGAATGGGATTTCACAGACGGGAGGTGCGAGACATGAAGCTATTGGAGTAGAAGAGACGGCCACATGTAACCGTTTCGACAGTGAAAGGGTGGGACCGTGACGCCAGCCTAAGTAGCACGTTTAAATTCATGCAGTCTGGGAACTAGCGAAAGTAGCTTGTCGGTACAGTTACCCTGAAAGTAGAAAAGACAGAGGGAGGCGACGGCACGTCTGTGAGAGAGCGACTGAAGACGAGATGCTAGATCAGGACCAAGCACATTGCTTATCTGTCTCTGGATCTTGTCGAACAGCGAGGGCACCACACCATATATGGCCGCAGTATTCCAGATTTGAAGGATGAACTCAGGCGATAAAAAACTTTTTGGCGCGACACAGGGAACCAACTCCTCCTTCCTTTATTTTTCAGGGCATTTTCAAATGACAATAACTTATATCACAATCAGGATTACATACACAAATTTATTATACACACCCACACACATATATATATATATATATATATATATATATATATATATATATATATATATATATATATATATATATATATATATATATACCTATATATTATATATATATCCATGGTTTTCCCATTCATCGGGTACAAAATAAACCTAGGATCTCATCGCTAAAACAAAATCTTTTAATCTCAAAGAAAAATGTAGTCTGTGCCTCAAACTCATCGATAATCATAATCTGCTCACCAAGCGAAATGAAATTATGATCGCATGCAATCACAGAAGGAACTCACTTCTCAAATATTTCAATGCTGGCCACAGCAATTAACCTAACATCTGCTGTAATATCCCCAATACCCTGCCTCTCATATTATTTTATTTTTTATTTTATTTTTTTATATTCAGTTACATTGTCATTGCACCATCCTAGCGTTTTAATGTTCATTATAGCTTGGCGTTACTTTTTTATTTTTTTATTTGTTTTATTATTTTTATTATTGTTCATATTTTTTACATTTCCTTGCCTTATATTCTTTTTTGACTTTTCATTTTTAATTCATTTGTTCAAACTTTATTTAAATAAATATGCTAAAACATATCATCTACTCTAATATGTGTATTCATAAAAATAATGTTATATATATATATATGTGTGTGTGTGTGTGTGTGTGTGTGTGTGTCCTATATATATATATATATATATATATATATATATATATATATATATATATATATATATATATATATATATATATATATATATATATATATATATATCAGTCTATTCCCTTTCTTTTTGTTTCTATCTATCTATTTATCTTTCTATGTCAGCCTGTTTATCTTCTATCTCTCTCTAAATATATATATATATATATATATATATATATATATATATATATATATATATATATATATATAATAAATTAACTGATTTAAAATATGGTTTCTTTTGCTACTCATTAATAACCATGTTTCAAAAACTGAAGCAAAAACTTCAAATTTAATTATATAATTAAATTAAAAGCATTAGTTCTGTTTCATCTTCAAGCGAATTTTGGAATTCCAATATTCGCTTGAAGATGAAACAGATGACGGCGGCAAAAAGAATAATAATAATAATAATAATAATAATAGTAATAATAATAATAATAGTGAAAAGAAAGAGATGTCGAAGGAGAAGATGAAGGTAGCCAAGAAGAAGACGGCGAAGAAGGATATTAATAATAATAATAATAATAGTAATATTCTAAACATACACCAGGCATGACTCACCTGGCTTTCGATCTAAACTCTTGTATGTGTTAACATGTACATGCTTCATCTTGTTGTATTAAGATGGGTTACAGGTAAATATATCCGTTAATAATAATAATAATAATAATAATAATAATAATAATAATAATAACCATCTTTTATCAGGCCGCGTGCTATTGCCAGCCACTAAATATAAAACCCGGCACAACAGAGTTGACCAATATCAGCACTGCAATATATGCAACACTTACTGAAAGGACACTGTAAGAAATTGGAAGAAATTAGAGAGATAGGACATGTAATAACTTTATGAGACTTCACAATACACACAAACAGAACAATCAAATCTAATCGCCTTGACATCATGTTTATAGACCTCAAAGACATAATGTGCCTTTTGATTGATATGACAGTCCTGGCAGACTGCAATGTATCTTTGTAGATCTTCAAAAAAAAAATCTATCAAACTCAAAGGAACTTGAAATCAAAATCTCGAAAATGTAGCGGATAACAAAATTAGGAATACCATTTGTAGCTGGAGCACTCGGATTGATTAGAAAAGATTCCAATAGACTCAATGAAGGAATACCTGGTAGTCCATGTCTTAAAGAAATACAAAAGTTGTTTTCACTAGTACAGCCCACATCTTGCGAAGGGTTTTTTTCTATGTAAAATATATGCGATTTTTTTTCTTCAAAACTGCTCGGTGAAAAATGCCATGGTACCATTTCTGACTTAGAAAGAAACGAGTATACACCAGAAACCAAAGGGAATAAAACAACAACAACAATAATAATAATAATAATGATAATAATAATGATAATGACAATAATAATAATAATGGGACGAAAACTATGTATTTCCAGAAGACAACTATAACGAGGAAGATGGCAGAGAAGCATGATGATGATGATAATTCGACAGACCCGTCCATTGGTCTTGTACTTCACATTCTGTCTTGTGCGCATGCGTTAGCGACGTTCATATCCGGTGTCACCCCGACTCTCTCCCTTCATAAATCCTTCTTTCTCTTACTTTCGCTTTCGCTTCTTTTTCCTCTTCTTTTCTCTCTCTCTCTCTCTTCTCTCTCTCTCTCTATATCTATCTATATATATATATATATATATATATATATATATATATTATATTGCTGATTTTGCTTCCCTCAACTGCTTGACCTGCACCTCCTTCGACATTGTCGGTTGGAAAACATCCAAGTTTTGGGTGATACGTACAGCGTTCTCGCCCTGGAGGAAACCTCAGACACCACACAGGAAGAGTTAAGTATATGAACGAGGATAACAGAAGGTCAGAAGGGTTGAATAAAGAGGGAGGTTATCCTCCGGGAAACTGAGACTTGGAGAGGTGCCGGCGTGTAATGAGAAGTTCCCCAGAAGTTTAGCTGACGGTGGCCCCATAAGCTATATATAAGAGGACGAAATTTCGAAGGAGGAGAGTAAGGAAGTGGAGCAAAAATGTGGCGAGAGCACGAAAGGAGAGTATGGATGGAGTGAACACTATGCTTCGTATTCGATAGCAAAAGGGTTTAAGGACTCAAGAATAAAAGCGGATGATGAATAGTCTCTCCTTGGAAGAGAAAGTAAGAAAATGCTTTAATGAAGGCGAGGTTATGCCAAGCAATTATGAAATGCGAAAAAGAGAGACATAAGGGAAAGAGAGATGATTGTTAAGGAAGGAGACGTTTAAAGATATGCCGATGAGAATTGAAATAAAGGATTAGATTGAATCAAAAATAAAGAAAGGGATAAAAGTTAGGAGGGGAAAATAAGAATACAAGAATGAAAGAGAATAGTAAAAAAAAAGGACGAATAGAATGATGGATGGACGGGATCAAGATGAGGTGAAAAAGAAGAAATGTATCAGGGGAGAAAAAGGAAATGAAAAGGAAATATATATATATATATATATATATATATATATATATATATATATAATATATAAAATAAAGAAGATATAAAAGAAAGACAGAAAGAAGAGAAAGAAAAGGTCAAATAGAATGAACAGAACAAGAAAAGAAAAGAAAGAGAAAAAGGAAGAATATGAAAGCCGATGAGACAAATAAAAACCATCAATGAAAAAAGATAGATAGATAGATAGATAGATAGATAGATAGATAGATAGATAGATAAGGAAGGAAGGAAGGAAGGAAGGAAGGAAGGAAGGAAGGAAGGAAGGAAGGGAACCTACCGAGAAGAAGAAAGAATGAAAAAAGAAAGAAAGCGAATGAAACGAGAAAGAAAGATAATGAACTGAAAGGGGGAGGAATAAGAACAGAACGGCGATATGTAGATCTACAAATTAAATTCCATAAAGAAAAATAGATAGATAGATAGATAGATAGATAGAACAAACCTAGATAGATAGAAGAGACTGATAGATAGATAGATAGATAGATAGATAGATAGATGAATAGATGGATAGATAGATAGATAGATAATAAGGAAGAAGAAACTACCGAAATAAGAAAAAAAAGAAATTGACTATAAGATAAAAAGACGAATAGGATAAGATAGATAGATGAATAGATAGATAGATAGATAGATAGAAAGATAAGGAAATGGAGGAAGAAGAAAGAAAGAAAGAAAGAAAGAAAGAAAGAAAGAAAGAAAGAAAGAAAGAAAGAAAGAAAGAAAGTGAAAGAACTGAAAAAAAGAAAGATAATGAACTGAAGCGAAGTATGAGGAGGAAGCAGAATAGAAAAGTGACAGGGAATTCTATAAAATTAAAATCAACAAAAAATCAAAGAAGTCAAAAAGGAAAGAAAGAAATTTGGAATGACAGATGAAAATAAAAAATTGAATGATAAAAGGAAGAAAGAAAGAAAAAAGAGAGAAAGAAAGAAAATGGCTAAATAAAGAAAAAAACAAAAAATTAAAAAAAGAAAGTAAAAAAATAATTAAGAAAGAAAAACGAAAGAAAGAAAGAAAAAGAGAAAATTAATAAAAAAGAAAAACTAAAGAAGGAAATTGGATAAGTAAACAACCGATAATTAGAAATGAAAGGTAGATAGTAAAGCAGAAATTTCAGAAAAAAAAAAGAAATTTAAGAAAGAAAGATAGAAAGAAAGAAAATGAGAAAATTAAAAAAGAAAGAAATGCGATAAAAAAGAAAAAGAAATTATTAAGAAATAAAGAAAGAAAGAAAGAAAGAAAGAAAGAAACAAAGTTGAAGAAAGAAAGAAAAAAGAAAAAGTGGAGAAAATTAGATAAATAAAGAAAAAGGAAAATGAAAAAAGAAAGAAATGGAATAAAAAGAAAGAGAAAAAAAGAAAGAAAGAAAAATGAAGAAGAAGAGGAAGAAGAAACTGATAATTAAGGAAAATAAAGCAAGAAGAAAAAAATAAAAGGAATGAAAAATACAGCGAAAAGAGAGCGTTACCATGAACAGTAAAGATAATGATATAAAACACAAGAGAAGAAGAAGAAAAAAGAAAGAAGATGAAGAAAGAAAAAGAAGATTAAGAAAAAATAAATAAAAAAGAAGAGGAAGAAAGAAAAAGAAAGAAGAATAAAGAAAAGGAATGAAAAATGCAGCGACAAGAGAAAGACAGTTCCAATTGAAATGATATAAAGCAAAAACAGAGAAGAAGAAGAAGAAGAAGAAGAAGAAGAAGAAGAAGAAAGGAGAAGAAAGAAGAAAAAAGAAAGACGAAAAAAGAAGAAGATTAAGAAAAAAGAAAGAAAACGAGAAAAAGAAAGGAGAAGAAGAGGAAGAAAGAAAAAGAAAGAAGAAGAAAGAAAAGGAATGAAAAATGCAGCGACAAGAGAAAGACAGTTACAATTGAAATGATATAAAGCAAAACTAAAGAAGAAGAAGAAGAAGAAGGAGAAAGGAGAAGAAAGAAGAAAAAAGAAAGACGAAAAAAGAAGAAGATTAAGAAAAAAGAAGAGGAAGAAAGAAAAAGACAGAAGAAGAAAGAAAAGGAATTAAGAATGCAGCGACAAGAGAAAGACAGTTACAATTGAAATGATATAAAGCAAAAAGAGAAGAAGAAGAAGAAAAAAGAGGAAGAAGAAGAAAAAAGAAAGAAGAAGAAAGAAGAAAAAGAAAAGACGAAGAAAGAAGAAGATTAAGAAAAAAGAAAGAAAACGAGAAAAAGAAAGGAGAAGGAGAAGAGGAAGAAAGAAAAAAAGAAAACGAAAGAAAGAAGATGAAGAAGAAAGAAAAGGAATGAAAAATGCAACGACAAGAGAAAGACAGAATTAATACAATACTATGAAAAATAAAGGTAATGATATAAAGCAAAACGTGAGAAGAAGAAGAAAAAGAAAAAGAAAGAAAGAAAGAAAAGAAAGAAGAGGAAGAAAGAAAAATAAATAAAAGGAAGTAGCTATAAATTGTGTGAGTGAAATCTTATGGTGTAGGAGTTGTACGTGCTGGAGGTCGTTGGAGAAAGCCACGAAAGATAGAAAATCTTGATGACCTGAGAGGAAATCTCCCAATGTTCCTCGCGATAAGAACTCGCGAAGAGTGAGGTCGACAGATTTGGCAGCTTAGAGGGTAAGGGCGGTGGGCTGGCGCTAGTGTTTGCCTGTAGAAGTTGGACTGCAAACGCAAGTTCAAACTTCATACCTTGTATTCGGGTAAAAACTGCACCACATCGGAACACAAAGGTAGAAATTAGACGCACAAAGCACGGGAATGCAGACCGAGAGAAGAAGGTGGATTTGTCGATTGTCGATGGGAAAGTACTGAAAAAGGCAAAAGGTCATATGATTGGCCGAGGCTTTTGTCAAGGAGACGACGCGAGTTTTCAGGCGGCCGTAATTCCAGTAAGGTCACACGTCGACGACTTGGGCCACAGGGACGAATGAATACACTACCCGTCATACCTGTGAGAGGCAAACATTGAAATAGTAGCAATACTTCTCGCTCTAGTGGATCACATCGAGTTCATAACAGCGTTCACTATTGTAGATTTTCAATCGGCAATATTCCCTTCTTTGCACATAATTAGATTCCTCTTAAGATGAGAAAATATACTTCTATCTTAACAAAAGAAAATAAATTGGCATCTATCTATCTATCTATCTATCTATCTATCTATCTATCTCAATCAGTTTATATCTATCAATCTATGTTCATATATACACATTTATCTATCTCAATCTCTTCATATCTATCTCTGAGTCTGTTCACGATCTATCTTATCTCATTCATCTTATCTTATTCATATATATCAAATTTATCTATCTCAATCTCTTAATATATATATATATATATATATATATATATATATATATATATATGTATATCATATATTCATATATCTATATATCTATCTCTGTTCCTATCTTTGTATCTCAATCAATCAATCAATCAATCTATGTTTATATATATATATATATATATATATATATATATATATATATATATATATATATATATATATATATGTCTCAATCTCTTAGTATATCTTTCTATCTCAGTCTCTACATATCTATCTCTATCTACCTCAATCTGTTAATATCTATCTATCTATCTCTATCTACATATATATTTATTTATCTATCTCGGTCTCTTAATATATATATATATATATATATATATATATATATATATCAGTCTCTTCATATCTATCTATCCCTGTTCGTATCTATCTATCAATCAATCTATTTATCTAGATGTTTGTCAGTCTGTCTACCAATTATTGCAATATAACATTCTTGCATCTATCTATCTATCTATCTATCTATCTATCTATCTATCTATCTATCTATTCTTTCGTTCTTTCTTTATATGTATCTATCATCCTATGGGCATTTTTCTCTATCTATCTATCTATCTATCTATCTATCTATCTATCTATCTATCTATCTTTTTCTATCTTTCTGCATTTCTTTCTTTCTTTGTAACTATCTATCAGACTATATATACTTGTATGTGCATTTCTTTCTATCTATATCTCTATCTGCATTCTTTCTTTCTTTTTTTCTTTCTATCTATCTGCATGTTTTCGTCCTTTCTGGCTATCATTCTATGTGCCTATGTGCATTTCTATCTATCTATCTATCTATCTATCTATCTATCTTCGGTTCTTTCTTTCTTTCTTTCTATGAATCTATCTATCTATTCTCTCTCTTTCTTTATTTCTTTCTTTCTTCATGTCTTTCTTTATATCTAACACTCTATTTGTCTATCTATGTACATTTCTTTCTATCTATCTCTCTGTCTGTATTTTTTCTTTCTTTCATTTTTCTTTCTTTGTAACTATCTATCTCTCAGACTATCTGTTCTTCCTATCTATCTGTCTATCTATCTATCTATCTATCTATCTATCTGTCTGTCTGTCTGTCTGTCTTTCTTCCGTTCTTTCTTTGTTTCTTTGTTTCTTTCTTTCTATCTATCTATCTATCTATCTATCTATCTATCTTCCGTTCTTTCTTTCTTTCTTTCTTTCTTTCTTTCTATGAATCTATCTATCTATCTATCTATCTATCTATCTATCTATCTTCCGTTCTATCTATCTATCTATCTATCTTCCGTTCTTTCTTTCTTTCTTTCTTTCTTTCTATGAATCTATCTATCTATCTATCTATCTATCTATCTATCTATCTTTCTTCCGTTCTTTCTTTTCTTTCTTTCTATGAATCTATCTATCTATCTATCTATCTATCTATCTATCTCTATCTTCCGTTCTTTTTTCTTTCTTTTTCTTTCTTTCTTTCTTTCTATGAATCTATCTATCTATCTATCTATCTATCTATCTATCTATCTATCTTCCGTTCTATCTATCTATCTATCTATCTATCTATCTATCTCTCTATCTATCTTTCTTCCGTTCTTTCTTTCTTTCTTTCTTTCTTTCTTTCTTTCTATGAATCTATCTATCTATCTATCTATATATCTATCTATCTATCTATCTTCCGTTCTATCTATCTATCTATCTATCTATCTTCCGTTCTTTCTTTCTTTCTTTCTATCTATCTATCTATCTATCTATCTATCTATCTTCCGTTCTTTCTTTCTTTCTTTCTTTCTTTCTATGAATCTATCTATCTATCTATCTATCTATCTATCTATCTATCTTTCGTTCTATCTATCTATCTATCTATCTATCTATCTATCTATCTTCCGTTCTTTCTTTCTTTCTATGAATCTATCTATCTATCTATCTTTCTTCCGTTCTTTCTTTCTTTCTTTCTTTCTTTCTATGAATCTATCTATCTATCTATCTTCCGTTCTATCTATCTATCTATCTATCTATCTATCTATCTATCTATCTATCTAAGTCACTTCCGGTTCTCTCTTTATCAAACAATCTCTGTTAATTCATCACCTATCTGTTTATATTTCTCTGTCTTCCCCCGCTTTATTTTTGACTCTCTATAAAGAAAAAAAATATACCTGCATGTCTCTCTTTGTTAGTCTCTGTCTCTGTCTGTCTGTCTGTCTGTCTCTCTCTCTCTCTCTCTACTCTCTCTGTATATATATATATATATATATATATATATATATATATATATATATATATAAACGATAGGCAAGGTACTACGATTAAGCTTTTTATTTAATTTTTCTCATGTCCGTACAGGTGTTTTCTTTTGTGGACACAAAATGTGTAAAAACTGTCCAAAAATTGAAACACGAACAATGAATAAGTAAAAGTCAACAGTCAATAACATTAACTACGAAAACGGCCATAATGTGTTGACCGTGTTTGGAAAATAAATCATTCCTATAACTTCAGACACATGCCTAAAAAGAACAGATTCATTTAAAAACAATAAAATAATAAAAGCTATTATTATTAGTGATTTTAAATGGTTTTTATTTTTAATTCATATTGAGTTTAAAGTAACATAAAACTTTGTGAATTTCAAAGACGTTTCTTTATATTCAGCTTAAAATCTCTTCAAATTGTTTATTTACAACATTTAGAGCCCAAAACTCCTCTATAAAAATAATCCATGTAAATCAATAATATGAAAAATAATGAAGATTTTCAATATGCATATTACTTGGAATGCACCTTTTGAGACGGACAGTCTTGGAAAAGTGGGGGTTCTTTTATCTTTTTTTTTTTTTTTTTTGGGGGGCGTTTTCTCCTCCTCACTTGTGTCTTTTTATTCTTTAGTTACTTTACAATGTGGTTCTTTACTAAAGGCCAAGTCATCGTGCATATCTTGTCCGGAACTTGAGGCCTATCTAGTCGTACCACTGAGAAGGAAGATTTTTTAGTTCCGGTTTGGGACTTCGGTCGTTTGAGCTGCAGTTGGCTGATGACATTCAAAGACAAAAATTTTTAGATTAAAAGAGTACAATTAATTTGGCATGAAAAGCTGATCTTCTTTATCTTGCTATGTTTTTGCTAATAATGTTCTCTTTAGCATTCTTTAAATCAATGGTTCTCAACTTTTTCTTTTCTTTTTTTTTTTTTTTTTTTGTTGTCTAGGCCATATTTTCGGAATGAAACATTGTTCATAGTGAAGTCCCGCTGAAAAGGCGCAAGCAGCCCTACGTCAAAGAAGGTCCAGAGAAAAGTTATAAGGGAGATAACCCCAGATTCGAAGTCAGAACTTTATCATTGATAACTCTCTCCAGCAATTTGCAGACATTAGTTACTATATTCTTAATACTTGATATAAGGCAAAAATATCACAATGATAAAATCGGTAAATAATTATTTATAATTATTTATAATGGGACTCTTGCATGCAATTACAAGTAAGCCGTAATAATATTTCAAATTTTATCTATTTTTGTCAGTAAAGTTTTTGATTGTCGTTCCGCCTCACCTGCTATCCTCTGTATAGATCTATTTATACCGCTATCTATCTGGCTATCTATCGCCCACTGTTCCTATCTATTCTATCTAGCTAGCTAGCTTGCTCTATCCGCATGTATCTCCCCACCACTATCTTTCTCTCTGATAATATCTGACAATATTTCTCCATCTCTCTGTACCCATCCATCTCTCTGTATCCCCTCTCTCTCTCTCTCTCTCTCTATATATATATATATATATATATATATATATATACATATATATATCGCTCATTATCCCTATCTAGCTAGCTAGCTCTGTCCGCATTTATCTCCCCCTTTCTATCTTTCTCTGTAATATTTCTCCATCTCTCTCTCTCTCTCTATCTATCTATCTATCTTTCTCTGAATCAATCTATCTATCTATCTATCTATCTATCTATCTATCTATCTCTCACTATCCCTATCTATCTAGATAGATAGATAGATAGATAGTCAGCTCTGTTCACATGTATCTCCCTCTCTATCGTTCTCTCTAAATCTAATAATATTTCTCCATCTCTCTGATCACATATCTATCTATCTATCTATCTATCTATCTAGCTAGCTAGCTAGCTAGCTAGATCTGTTCCTATGTATCTCCCCCTTTCTTTCTTTCTTTCTTTCTTTCTCTCTAAATCTGATAATATTTCTCCATCTTTCTGTTCACATGTTTATCTATCTATCTATCTATCTATCTATCTATCTATCTATCTATCTATCTATCTATCTATCTATCTATCTCTCACTATCTCTATACATCTATCTATCTAGCTAGCTAGCTAGTTTATTCTGTTCGTATGTATTTCCTCTCTATTTTCTCTCTAAATTTGTTAATATTTCTCCATCTCTCTGTTCACATGTCACTATCTATCTATCTATCTATCTATCTATCTATCTATCTATCGACCTTGCTAACCAGACGCTTCCTCTGCTGCTAAATGATATTACACGTCAAGCTATATGACGTCTCCGTGTAGGATATAGGTTCGATTCATGTCGGAGGACACATATTATCTATGAAATTTCTCGAACATTCAGGCTGCTAAATGTTGTTAATACTGTTTATTAAAAAAAAAGAGAGTATTTACTTAAATATTTATATCTATAAAAATAACGTATATATAAAATTAATTGTCGGATTAGTCCATTTCATAATATATGATGTTATTTGTTTACGTTAAGATACGATTCGATTAGATATGAGCATTCGAGAAAAATCATGGGAAATTTGTAGTTTAAAAGCAGTAATTCGACCTTACTAACCAGACGCTTCCTCTATAGCTAATTTTTCGAACCTGTGTCCTATACGGAACCGTCATTTAGCTTGACGTGCCTTTACCGATTTGGCCACAGAGGAGCGTTCGGTTAGCAAGGTCGAATTGACTGTATTTAAACTTCAATCTTCCACGAATCTCTCACGTACATTCATATCTGCTCATGGCGTATCAAATGTAAACAAATGACGTCACACATTTTGAAATGGGCAAAGTCCGACAATACAGGTTCGAATCCTGTCGGAGTACGAATATTTTCTGTGAAAATTTCTCGGACATTCAGGCCGGTAAATGTTGTTTAATACTGTTTATTATAAACAGAGTATTTACTTAAATGTTTGTATCTATAAAAAGAATGCATAAACATAAAAATGTCTTAAAATAATTGTCGAACTTTGTCCATTTCAATTTATATATATATATATATATATATATATATATATATATATATATATATATATCAGTTTGTTCATATATATCTATTTTATTTTGTTCATTTCTATCTACCTACCTATCTCAGTCTGTTCGTATGTATCAAGCGTCAGTCTTCTCATATCTATCTATCTTATTCTGCTCATTATCTATCTATCTGTCTATCTATCTATCTATCTATCTATCTATCTATTTGTCTGTCTTCTGTTCATATCTATCTATCTATCTATCTATCTATCTATCTATCTATCTATCTTATTCTGCTCATTATCTATCTATCTATCTATCTATCTATCTATCTATCTATCTATCTATCTATTTGTCTGTCTTCTGTTCATATCTATCTATCTATCTATCTATCTATCTATCTTATTCTGCTCATTATCTATCTATCTATCTATCTATCTATCTATCTATCTATCTATCTATCTGTCTGTCTTCTGTTCATATCTATCTATCTATCTATCTATCTATCTATCTATCTATCGATCGATCTCAGTTTCAGATAGGACACTTTCTCTTTATTTAGTTTTTTCGAGTACGTAAACCGGTAGATGTAAATACTGTTTAAGATAAACAGAGCATCTGCGTAAATACGAGCATCGAATAAAAATGACGTTTGAATATATAGATAGATAGATAGATAGATAGATAGATAGATAGAGAGAGAGAGAGAGAGAGAGAGAGAGATTGCAATTTAAGTCCATTAAATGCAGAGATGTGTGCAGATGAACTTCCATTAGCCTCCCAGTCTAATGACAACGTCTCCCCACCCGTATTGGAAAAGCTACCCACTACCCTCCCCTAAGCCTTTTTGACCGTCCACTCTGAGATTTTTATACAACAACCTCGTTCACTTTATACATTTTCCCGGGAATGTTTCTCTCGTCGATGAAATATGAGAAGAAAAACCGTTAATGCTTTGAAATAGTTTCATCCAAATTTTAATGCATTGCATATAATTTGAGGTCATCCCCATTGCATGGGGAAGAAGAGACGTTTTGGGTAAGTATTATTGAATTTTACCTTATTCTTCATCTTTTATCTATTGTAATAAGGAGTCTGAGGTAAGCAAGATGGCAATAAATGTAAATAATTATAAAAATAATAATACGAAGAAGGGATAAACGTGGTGAGATTAGAAGAATACGGCCAAGAAGAAAAATGGTAGCAAAGAAAAAGACGGAGACAGACAATAATAATAATAATAATAATAATAATAATAAGAAGAAGAAGAAGAAGAAGAAGAAGAAGATGAAGGATAAGAAGAAGAAGAAGAAGAAGGAGAAGAAGAAGAAAAAGAAGTAATGGACATGATGAGGTAAGAAGAATAGAGCCAAGAAAGATGACGGTAGCAAAATAAGACGTTGAAGGACAATAATAATAATAATAATAATAATAATAATAATGATAATAATAATAATAATAATAATAATAATAATGATAATAGTAATAAGAGCGAGAAGAAAAAAGAAAAGTACAAGCAGAAGACGAAGACGAAGATAGTGAAGAAAAAGACGACGAAGAAGGACAATAATACTACTACTACTACTAATAATAATAATAATAATGATAATAATAATAATAAGAAGAAGAAGAAGAAGAAAAAAGAGAGGTAGAAGGAGAAGACGAAAGTAGCCAAGAAGGACAATAATAATAATAAGAAGAAGAAGAATATGAAGAAGAAATAAACGTGGGGAGGTAAGAAGAATACGGCCAAGAAGAAGTTGTAGAAGGAGATGCCAAAGAATGGCGATAATAATATAATAATAATAATAATAATAATAATAATAATAATGGGAAGAAGAAGAAATGTAAAGGGAGACGAGGGTAGCCAAGAAGAAGACGGCGAAGAAGGACATCAACAACAACAACAATAACAACGACAATAATAATAATAACAATAATAATAATAATAAATGAGAAGAAAAAGGAGATGTAGAAGGAGGGGAAGGTAGCGAAAAAGACGGCGAAGACAGAAAATAATAATAATAATAATAATACGAAAAAGAAGAAGTAATGAACATGATGAGGTAAGAAGAATAGAAACAAGAAAGACGACGATAGCAAAATAATAAGAAGAAGAAGAGTGAGAAGAAAAAAAAGCAGAAGACGAAGGAAGTGAAGAAGATGACTGCGAATAATAATAATAATAATAATAATAATAATAATAATAATAATAATGAGAAAAGAAAGAGATGTAGAAGGAGAAGACTAAGGTAGCCAAGAAGAAAACGGCGAAGAAAGATAATGACAGTGAAAAGAAAAAAGGCGATGTAGAAGAAGACGACGAAGAGGACAACAATAATAATAAGAAGACTAAGGTAGTGAAGAAGACGACGAAGAGGACAATAGTAATAATAATAATAATAATGAGTGAGAAGAGAAAGATGTAGAAGAAGAATGAGAAGAAAAAGGAGATATAGACGGAGAAGACGAAGGTAGCCAAGAAGCCGCCGGTTAAGAAGGGCAATAATGATAATAATTAAGTCCCGGGTGGATCACTGAAGGTATTAAATATGCCCAAAACGAATGATCGGAAAAATTATAGGCCAATAACATGTCTGTCCAGCACGTATGAATTGATCACGTCTGTCCTGACGAACCGTACTTACTCTTTTCTCGCAGCAAACAGAAAGGGATGCAAGAGAGATTAATATGGTTGTCAAGATCAACTACCGATAAACAAAATGATCCTGGAAAATTGAAGGAAATCATATCGAAATCTTAGCACAGCATGGATAGATTACCGTAAATCTTTTAGTAGCGTGCCACACTCTTGGATTCTTAAGACTCTGGAAATGTAGAAAGTCTCTCCGCGATAGTAAATTTCCTTTAACACAGCATGGATTTCGGATTAGATAAATGTGCAAAAGTAACATTCAAGAAAGGGAGAATTACAGAAACACACTCAATAGATTTAGATTTTGGAACAAAGATTAGAAAACTGGAACAAGAAGAAGCCTATAGATACCTAGGAATTAGCGAAGGAGATGGAATACAACATATCTAAATGAAGGAGAAGATAAGAAAGGGGTACTAAAAGAAGGTGAGTCTGGTAATGAATACCGAGCTGAATTCAAAGAACAGAATATCAGCCATAAACCTTGACTGTCTCTGTGGTACAATACAGTTTTAACATCCTTAACTGGACCATAGCTGACATAAAGCGAACGGATGTCAAAACGAGAAAGCTTCTCACCTGAAACTGCATGCATCATCCCAATGCTGATATTGATCGTCTGTATGTGCTAAGATCCAAAGTAGGCCGAGGATTAGTTCAACTAGAACTGTTTTACAAAACTACAACAATTGGCCTTCAAAGATTAACTGGTAACTACAAAAAACTGGATGATGATCTTTGTCAAAGAACGTGAAAGAAGTAAGAAACTTTATTCAGTAATAAAGGAAGCCAACAATTTCGAAATAAAGTTTGAAATGGATGAAGAAATGCAAGTTAGACATAACACACCGACTGCAGCTGCAAAATACTTAAATAAAGAAAGCAAAAGCAAATGCAACCGACCAGAGACAGAAACGATGGCTTCACGGTCAATACTCTTCCCGTATCAAACAGAGTGATGTAGACAAACCCCCGTACCTATCAGTAGCTACGTAGGGAAGGGTTAGTAGCTGAAACCGAAACTTTTATTCTTGCTGTACAGGACCAATGATTGCTAACTAGAAATTACCAAACGGACATTCTGAAAAATTCTGTTAGGCCAAAATTC